TAAAATACATTCAGAACATTGCATTAAACGGATATAATGTCGATTGTACAATGTAAATTAGTATCAATTACTGCACACTATAAGCTAAAGGTCAAGTGCATGTTCTATCATTATTACTGTTGTTGTTTTGCTATTAGTATTCATGCAATCACATTAAAGAGGCATCAATTGCGTAATTAAACTGGAGGGTTACGGTAGTGTCGAAACTTGTACAGCGTATTAGCGTATAAAGAGCAATCATCTAATTGGTTGACGGGTTGGTGCGCGCGGTGTGATAGATCAGTCAGTGCAGAGTGGAGATAGCGCAAGAGAAAATGACGGAAACGAGCGAGATAGAGAGAGAGCAAACTCGTCATAATGACGATCAAATTGCATCGCAAAGTATAAGATGCAATAATTCTGGATTAAAGGATCTGAAGGATAAGGAAACATCCAAGCGAACAATCGCCCTAGTCATCAGCTATCAGCCTTCAACGAATTTATCCGGTTGAAGAGAGTTCAGACTGATGAAAATGAAAATTTCAGGAAAAAATTCAGGAAGACAATTGTATTTTTGAGGTGTGAATTAAAAATCTATGAGGGTTTTTCAACCAACCAATAGATACAAAATGCAAATCAAATAAACCAGTGCCGTTGTTGGGATAGGAGGGCGCTTGTTTTTTGGATTCATTCTATTTGAATCAATTCAAATTGAATCATTTTAATCGAATCCACGGTCAAATATCCGTGATTGATAATATAATATAATGGCACTAATGGAATTACTGAGGAATGTTCAATACCGTATACTCGATTACCATATACCGCAAAATGTGCGCAATCACACAAATTAATGCGATAAGCATCATGAAAATTAGATTTTGTGGGAGTGGCCGCCGAATTAGGTGACGTTGTTATCCTATTTGGGTGGATAAAGTAAATCCGCGAGAAAGCGATCAACGCTTCGATAGTTGATTTAACATCTTTATTCTATTATTACTTCCATGATTATTCAATCCGATCCTATTGTTCCTATGACTTATTCCATTTGATTCTATTTTATTCTCTAACGAATTGAATCTCAATTAATTTTTCATTTCAATTATTATTCAATTCATATAACTGAATGATCATAAATCCTTATAACCTATTTGCTCAAATGATTCAGTGTTGAGGAATCATTCATTTACTTACTATAACAGTATTACGAGTAACTGAAGAAAGCATTTATTTCTGTAATGAAATTGTATTGTAGCGAAGTGCATTATAGTAATTAGTTAAAATTGCCTGCTAATTGCACAGCAAAACGATTATTGTTTTGTTTTATCGGAGTAATTTATTTATTTAATTCCTCGATTCCATCTAGACCTGATATCACTCCATCGTATGAAGTTGAAAACGTTCTGCTTCGAGTTTTGAGAGACNACCAGATCATGCCGTAATTCGAAACTGTTCAGAATCAAGCTATCGCCCTCAAACTAGCGTATATCGGCACTATGATGGATTACGGTGGTTATTTTGCCGCACAGTCGGCCGCAGCAATCGATCGAGGCGCTACGGAAGCGGCCGGTCAAGCGATGAATCCGTTCAACCTGAATGCTGCGGCGAATCTGAGTTTTGCAGCGAATGGCGTAACTGCGGGGGCGTACGGTACGTCCGGAATGCCACAACAACACCAACATCAACAACAACAGCAGCATCACAGCCAACTTTATGGACCTTACGCAGCCTCTTATGGACAGTTGGCTGCTGGAACGGCAAGGTAAGAGGGGTGTGATACGGTACAGCAGATAGGGATTGTGTTGTGAAGAGAGGGAGGATGGTTTATGTGCTAATACATTTTGAATTGTGCACTTGTTTTACGGAAGGATCGATGGATAAAATATTGATTTCTACTCATAGTCAGCAAAATTCGTATCATTCAGAAGGGTAAGAATATTCTCTTCGATCAGATGACATCAAAAAATCAAGCAACTTTTGGAAAAACTTGAGGATTAAGAAGATATTTTGACAAATATTAGTGCGTTATTGATCAGCATAGAGATCAACTAGAACAGTTTGGCGATGCAACGAAATCGATCAGCTGTACGATACACATTCGGAAGTTGAGTGATTTGTATGGAACTAATTATGAGCATTCCTCGTTGACAATAAGCATATTTTAATGATAGTAGAAGATATGGGAAATCCAATGGTAATTGAAAACTGCTGTGCTGCTGAATAAACTTGAGGGCGAGGGTACTAGCTTGAAGTAATTTTTGAGGGTAACTTCGATTTCTCGATTTCAATACATGCCATGGTATATATCATGACAATTGTAACTATTGAACATCACCACTAATCACACCAAGCGGCATAACTCTCGTGATTTATCAGTTCGTGTCAATATGTAAAGCGGATTTCTATAGTACTCAATCTCGGCTACAACAAGGTAAAGATCGTGAGTATAAATGTTCCCTGTCGGGTGGGTAACAATTCAAATTATTTCTTGAACTTTTCTAGTTAAAGCAAGATCGAGAATATCGAAAATATTTTGATCGCTGGCAAATCTATCCATCAAGTTTTGTTCTCCTGGATCTGCGTTACAAAATGATATATGACATGCCCGGATTCATTGCCGTTCAACGGGTAAGAAATTCACATTTCTGAGCATATATCAAATGAAAATCCGAGTTCCGGTAGCAAAACAACTCACCCGGCGAGTGTAAAACTCACTTGCAACAGACTGTAAAATTCATCCGCATCGTAAAACTCACCTGCTCCCTTGTAAAACCCAGTCCCTTCTCGTAGAAAACCAGTCGAATTTGTGTGCAATTTTCAGTGGAAACTATTTTTTTTTAGATTTTCTCATTTCCTCGACATGTATTCGATTGATATTTTTAAGGTCTCTGAAATTTTCACCGAAAATTGGGTGATAAATGGAATATTGAAATAATTTTTGGATGCGATTACCTCAGAATGTGCTGCTGAATAAACTCGAGGGTACTAGCTTGAAGTAATTTGTGAGGGTAACTTCAATTTCTCGAGTATACATGTCATGGTATATATCGTGACTATTGAACATCACCATTGATCACGCCAAGCGGCATAACTCTCGTAACTTATCAGTTCGTGTCAATATGTAAAGCGGATTTCTATAGTACTCAATTGATTGAATATGGATGTATATACATGGTATAGCTATTGCGATCGGTTTCGTCGTATTCATAAGGATGATTTCTCGGTTGTGTTGAGTGCAGTAAATGATCAGGATAATGTGTCACTTCAGCAGAAATATTCGTCGTTTGGATGTTGTGATAGATTCAATGCCAGTAGATTATTAACCGGTGATCGAATCAAACAAACAGAAATTAAATTTGTTTCTGAATTGATTGAATATGGATGATGTATATACAACACAGCAAATACAATTCATCTTTCGATGTTCTGTTTGTAACGAAGAGAAATGTGAGGAGCATTTATTTTATGGCCGTTTAATTTTCTGTTGAAAATCTTTGGTGCAAAAGATCGATCGCTTTTTTTTATGAATAAGAAACAAAACAGTTTGATTGGGTATATGCCGAAAAATACATTTAACGATTTCTTTATTGAATAAGTTCAGTTTCGTTGGATAACTTGGAGGTGCATTTATGGGCATGCCATATACGCTCATTCCCGTACAGATGTGCAAAATGCGGTTACCCAGCGCTTAATTCCAAAGCGCTTATAACACACTTCTCGGAATCTCACGATATGGACACTGATACGAATTCGGTTCGTGTTTCGGTTTTAATTATTGTTGGTTCTATTGAATCGTCGTTTCATTCAATTAATTTACAACTGATCATTACAGAATATTATCGATAAAATCTCAATTACTGAACTGAAAATTAAAACGTATCAAATCGAAAATAATCATAAAGTACTAAAGGAAGATAAGAACAATAAAAACAAATAAATGATAATTGAATACTACAGCAATGTGTGGAATTCAAACGGCGTATTGATCACGAGATACGTCTTCGGGAACTGATTTCCCGGTCGTTGATCTTCGCAGCTGTTGAGGACGGAACCGATAGTGGCGAATGTCAGGAGGACGGTTTATTCTTAAGTGAGAACGATTGCGCTAATAATATTGAGCTGATACGGACTGATGATAATGTTAATGAAGCATTGGACGATGAAACGAAACAACAATATATCATTCATCAAATCAGCCAACCGGATCAAATCGATCAAGATCAAGAGCCAGTGTGTGATGTTCCTGATCAGTTCATTCAGGCATGATTCAAATATCTGATTGCTTTGTTTGTTTTTTTTTAGAGGAGCTATTGATTGGATGGGTGCATGGATCACTTTCACTGATTACGTTCTCTTTTTTCAAATAGTTTGCATGACTTGAATGAATTCATTAAATATTCTCCTAGTAATGATTGGAAGAATTTTATCCGATTTGAGGAATAAAAGTAGTGATTTGTTTATGATAATGTTTTCTTGTTGTAGACGAGTAGAAGTGAAATGGTTGAAAGGATCGCAGAGCCGTTCGATTTTGTGAAGATTAATGATGTGGCACAAGAAGAGATCATTGAAGAGGTGATCATGAATCTGCTGCTTTTGATGGAGGGAGGGTAATTACGTGCTTTAGACGGCTGCATGCTTAACCACAGATTGTGATTAAGGCATTCATGGTCTGAACCGCGTAATTACCTCAAAATTTTTTGTTGAAAGTTTTGATCTACCGTTAGATAGAAATGTGTTCGAAATTGGTAGTGATATTAAGGTCATGGAGGATGAAGAATTGATGGAATATAAACGGATGCCGATAGCGTCGACATCATATGAGGGGATTGTCTACGAAAGTGATAAAGATAAGACTAAAAGAAAACGACGTGAACCGACAATACGACAGTGTGAAGAGTGTGGTAAAGTGCTGAAGTATCCGTCGAAAATAGCCGAGCACATGAGGTCGCATACTGGAGAACGACCGCACAGATGCCCTCTCTGTGGGATTTCGTTCTCGCAGAAAGGTGCTCTCAAATGTCATATAAGGCTACATACTGGTCCGATTTTTTAATTATTGCTTTTTATATCATGTGTTTTTACTTATACTTTTTGTTATTATTCCTCACTGAAGTTACAGCTGTAATAATAATAATAGTAATAATAATAATAAGAGTAAAATAACAGGTGAAAAGCCATATGCATGCACATGGGAGTGTGGACGGTCATTCGTTTCGTCGTCAGCACGTCAGATGCATGAGAAGTCACACCGAGGAGAGAAACCATTCAGTTGTGCTTATTGTGGACAGTTGTTCGGCAAGAAGTTTCATATGAAACGACATCAGTTAACTCAACATTCTGTGAATAATTACTTTTATGATAGCGACAATAATTTTAATAGCACACCGACCGGACTCGAGGCTGCTGGAGAGGATGTGAGGGTATTGGTTGGTCCAGTAACGGTGCGTTTCATTTAGATTTTGGTTTGTTTTGAGTGTTTGTTTGAAAACTTGTTGAGTGTTATTGTATTGCAGTCGGTCATTGAGGACGTCAGACAGTCAAGATTAAGAAAGAAACGATATTCTGCAAATGG